ATAGCCAAAAAAATTCGAAGATAAAGAATTACAGGCTTACTCGAAGAAGATCAGAATCAAACGCAAGAGGAGCTTGCAGAATCATTGGGGGTAACTCAACAAGCCGTTTCTGTACGATTGTGAGTCATGGGAATGATTCAAAAACAAGAAAATTGGGTGCCTTATGAACTGAAACCGAGAGATGTTAAAAGGCGACTTTTCACTTGTGAACAGCTGATTCAAAGACAACAGAGAAAAGATTTTTTTGCATCGGATTGTGACTGGAGATGAGAAATGGATATTCTACGATAATCCCAAGAAGAAAAAAATACTACGCTAAGCTCGGTCAATCGTTGCCATCGACCTCAACATTAACACCATGGCCGAACATTCATGGTTCGAAGATCATGCTCTGTATCTAGTGGGATCAAAAAGATCTTGTTTACTATAAGCTGCTGAAACCTGGCGATTCCATACGGGCGATCAGTATCGGCTACAATTGATTCGTTTGAGCCGTGCATTGCGAGAAAAATGGCCAGAATATGAGCAAAGACATGATAAAGTTATTCTTCTTCATGACAACGCTCGGCCTCATGTCGCTAAAATCGTAAAAAAATATTTGGAAACGCTCAAATGGGATGTTCTACCGCACCCGCCGTATTCTACGGATATTGCTCCTTCTGATTACTAGTTGTTCTGAAGGATGCAGCAAGTCACTTTTTTCACAAAAATCGAAAATTGGCTCCAAAATTGGATTGCCTCCAAAGACGAGTCATTTTTTCGAGATGGAATTTGAAAATTGCCTGAGAGATGGGAAAAAGTAGTAGGCAGCGATGGACAATACTTTAATTGATCTATTCATTCATTTTGTTTTGAAATAAATGCATTTTTAATACAAAAAAACGGACCGAATTAATTTGTATTCCCAATGTAATAAGTAATTATCTATATTAATAACTTATTTAACTTTTAAATATATTAGGTGTACAACTTTGCTTCCGCCGTTTTTTTCCGAAATTCGAGGCTTTATTGTAAAAAACTGATTATACATTTATGATTCAAAGTATTGTCCATCGCTGGCCACTACATTCTCCCATCTTTCAGGTAGCGTACAAATCCCGCATCGAAAAAACTGGTCATCTTTTGAGGCTATCCACGAATCGATCCAATTTTTTACTTCTTCATAAGACCGGAAGTGCTGGTCAGCCAGGCCGTGTGCCATTAATCGAAACAAGTGATAGTCAGAGGGAACAACGTCTGGAGAATACGGCGGGTGGGGTAGGACTTCCCATTCAACGTTTCCAAGTATGTCTTGACCACTTTCGCAACATGGGATCGAGCATTGTCATGCTGCAAAATCACTTTATCGTGTCTCTCGTTGTATTGCGGCCGTTTGTGTCTTTCAATGCTCGGCTCAAACGCATCAATTGCGTTCGATACCGATCGCCTGTGATTGTTTCAGTCGGTTTTAACAGTTCATAATACACTACGCTGGTCCCACCAAATACAGAGCATGATCTTGGAGCCGTGAATATTCGGTTTGGCCGTCGACGTGGAAGCATGGCCGGGAACTCCCCATGATTTTCTGTGCTTAGGATTATCGTAATGAATTCATTTTTCGTCCCCAGTCACAATGCGATGCAGAAATCCCTTCCGTTTTTGTCTTTCAAGCAGCTGTTCACAAGCAAACAAACGTCGTTCAACATCTCTCGGTTTCAATTCGTACGGCACCCAATTTCCTTGCTTCTGAATCATTCCCATGGCTTTGAGGCGTTTTGAAATGGCTTGTTTAGTCACTCCCAATTTTCGTGCCAATTCTTCTTGATTTTGACACGAGTCTTGCTCAAGTAATGCCTCCAATTCTGCATCGAAAACCTTCTCTCTTCCACCGCTATGCCGGTCTTCGACGTCAAAATCACCGTTCTTGAAGCGTTGAAACCACTCGCGACACGTTCTTTCACTAATAGCGACTTCACCATAAGTATTTGAAAGCATTCGATGAGCCTCAGCCGCAGATTTCTTCATATTGAAGCAAAAAATTAAAACCTCCCGCAAATGACGAGAATTTGGCTCGTAAACTGACATTTTCAATCGAGAATAACTTTATGATGCAGACACAAATCGATTAATGTTTCTATGGGGTTATGTTGACAGATGCCCAAGTTTATTGTATGACATCTATGATCTATTTATTTCAACCACCACTTACCGCTAAAGCCATCTATAGGAAAACGGCGGAAGCAAAGTTGTACACCTAATATTATATCGAAATGGAGATTTAGTTCACTGCAAGAGTAAGAAGACAATAATTGCATTATCCTTTATCGAGAGCAAAATAGAGGCTATGTTAGAAAGACTTGAAGGAGACAATCTAGACCTACAATCTATCAGAGGAAATTGGAATGGAAAAGGGATGTTCAAGGACTTAAAATATGATAACTTAAATGCCGTCAGCTTAGTTAATGGAGCTTTAAGATCAAATCTAAGTTGACGAACAAAATCATTGAAAATAAAATGATGATGAGACCAAATGGATTCAAGACCAAATATAAGTTAATGAAAATTATTTAGTGGATTGGCTTTGCTGAAGAATACGAGGTTTATACATATTAAGAATTGATAAAATTAAGGGAGCGAATTGTAGAGTAAATTTTATCATTTGTTCCTGGTAGCAAGCTGACGTCAAAATGATGTCATTTAACGTCAAAATGATGACAAAATGAGCTTGCTACCTGAGCTGATTGTAGATGTATTTATCGATTCAGATGGCGTTTGATTCATTTTTGTCCGGGGGGGCGAGTCACATAACTATCGTTATTACAACATACACGAAGGAGAGAATATTGCGTCAACTATCTTACTATATCTTTTGTATCAAACAATTGTTCAAATATATTTTATTCAGAGAAATACTGTTAATGCTTATTTATAATCAAAATCCTTTATATTCCTCCACAAAATGGTCATCTCAAAACAGTTCTGTTTTTGAGGCAGTCTTGTTTCAAATTTCAGATTAAATGTATCAGTACAAAGGTATCTCCAAAATAAAGAGGACTCGTTCGAATAGGCTGCAAAAAAGATTTGCAAGCAATCAATTTATTAGTAAAATATAACTTGCAGAATTTAATTTTCTTGTTGAAAAACTCGTTTCTTCTATAGAATCTTTATTAGTATTCAGCAAAAAGACATTGTTATTACTCCAACTCATTATTACTGTATCATTGAATATTAAACTGTTGACATGAAATTTAAACTGTTTTTGACGGAATTGCGGAAATAGTTATTTGCAGACATTGTAAACAAAACAATATAACATTTGGCGAATCAGATCATTGTAGTCTTGATTTTAAAATCATAATTAGATGCTGGTGTGATCAAATACCAATCAACTCCGATCCTTTCATTAAAAATGTTTACTAAATAAATTTTAGAATAGTGTTTGTTATGAGATTATGAGGCATTGCTAGAGAAGGCATTAACATCTTTGTGGATTTATGGACTTCGGCCAAGTTTGTCTGCGTACAAAAATGCTATGAAAAAAATTCCGTGGCAAGTGCAGCATTTGATATTTTGTGTAAAAAAGTGGTTGATGAAGAAAAAAGAGAAAATACTAAAAATGGAAAATCTTTATAAAATTTAAAAGTGTCTGGCGATGAATACTGCAAAACACGCTCTCAACTTCTCTTTATCACGATGTTAATAGAATAGGTGGATATGCGTGCGTGCAATGTTTTATTTGTGCCAAAAAATTGTTTTATTGTGCTCAAAAAAATCAGAGAATTACTTACAATCAGTCCTACAAAGGAGCAAATTCAAAATTAGGTATTTTTGAGAAAAATAGCCGTAGAAAAATATTTGAAAATGTATTTTAAAGTCTGAAGCGGAAATTTTCGAATGTTTCAAATCCCATATCTCACTGTTGGAAAAAATGTATCCAATTTAATATATGTATATTATATGTCCCAAATGGTCCATTCAAATTTTTAATTTAACACAAAATGAATGTATTACAAGTATTATGTAAAAAAATAAATATGAAAAAAGATAATATTGACACTGTTTGTAAACAAACTTGAAATTATATTTTTTTCAGTAAAATTGACATCTAAATATACTAGATTAATATTTTATTCATTTGTTTTATTGTTAGAATTTACGTTATAAAACACTTTACTTTCATGTTATTTATTTAGTCACAAATTATATCATTTTGAAACTAAGAAATATTAATTTAACACAAAATGTTTAAATAACATAATTAGATTTTATGTTAAATTAACACTTGCATATATTAAAAACTTCAACATAAATTATTAATAAGAATCCGAATGGACTGTTTTCAACACAATGTTTTTTATTGTGTTCAACAATTTCACTACAAATGGCATTAATTTAAAGCAAACCTTGAAAAATGAAAGAATAATACAAAAAATAATATATTTTAAATGTAAATTCTAAAATAAATGAATAAAATATGTATTAATTGACAATATATCGTAAATGTTAATTAAAAAAAATATATTTCCACAGTTTGTTTACAAACTGTATCATTATCTTTTTGTGATCATCTTTTTAACATAATATCTGTGTTGTTTTTTAATATATTTATTTCATATTAAATGAATATAATTTGAGTTTACCACGTTTGGGACATGTGAAATGTTATATTCAAAATAAATTTTCAAGCAGTGTACGATTTTTTTTACTAATTGTAAGTTATGATGATTTAAAGTGAGTAAATTTTCGGATCTTTTCTCTAAAAACCTGTATCGTCACACTCGTATTATATCGTATTATATCGTAACAATTTGAGTCTATATTTTTGAAAGTTGTCTTCTTGGCATTTTGAAAATACATTAAATATAAATGTAACGATTTAAAAATAAATTCTTTGAATAGATATTTATCTTTTATTTCACATATATTAATTGTTTTTATTTATGCATATATTAATATTATGCACATATATATTATTTATGCATATATTGTTTTAAGTATCGAATAACGTTATTATGTTGCAGCGGATGACAGTGCACAGGGAGATGCGACAACATGTGGGAATATCTTGGTGATATTATCGTGGATTGTTGTAATATTGACAATGCCATTCTCTCTCTTTGTTTGTTTCAAGGTAAGAGGCCTGTTCAGAGGAAGAAAGATGACTCTTTTAAAAAAATTTTTTAAGATCATTCTCATTTATGTTATAAATTTCTCGCTATTCGCCGACAGTTGTGAGAGTGAGCGTTTTAATGAGCAATGTTGTTCCAATGTAACTATAATTACATGGAATTTATTCATAATGCTATTTTTATCCATAGTACATGCAAATGTTCGTTTTTGCAATGCTTTTATTATTATATCGGAGCTCATAGATATGTATAATACACATACTAAGATTAATTTCTAATTAAAATGTTAAGATCCTGTTTTCAATATGAACAATAGTTCAGTTTTACTATTAATCATCAAATCTTTGTTGTAGATGATGATGTAGATGATTATTCGTCAAATATCATATTGGACTAATGTATTATTCATATTGAAAACAGAATTTCAACATTTTAATTAATCTCAGTATGTGTATATACATCATCTACTTTTGCAACAAGTTTTCAAGCAATTTTAACTGTTACATTTCTTATTACTGTTAATTCTATTAATCTATATATTAGTAAAATAAAATTTTCAATAAAAATTTTACTTTACTTTTGCTGAATTTGCTAAAGAAGAAGAATCTGTGATTTCGAAATGTTCTATTAATATATTCTACTAATAAATATATTAAAAGTTTAATTATAATTTCTTTATTAAGCTCGATTATTAACCATATCAAGTTATATATAATATACAGGGTGCGTTATCAAAATCCGGACAAATTTTAATTTAAATTTTCCGCTATATTGTTCCGCCAGAGGTTGTTGTTGGCATCCGAGAAAGCCTGATGCTTCTAGTAAACAGTATAGTGATATTCTCAAAGTGGCCGCGATATTGAAAGTGCAAAGTATAATATAATCGAAGAGCCGCGATCATCTAAGGCTTTCGCGCTGGGCGCTCAGCAACGGAAATAATTCGATTCTTTGGATATCTGAGATCAACGGTTTATGACGTTGTGCAAAATAGATGATTTTAGAACGGTCCAAGAACGTTGAGTCGGCCAGCGAGAATGAGTGACTCGAAAAAACGCACCGCGAGGACCCTCGCAATTGAAAGAGCTCAAATGCTGATTCCGGATAATCCAGGGCAATCGTTGCGCGTTCTGATGGAATAGTGGAATGGATAGAAACTGGGGCGTCCGGAAGGCCTTATGTTTTTTAGTAGGATGGTGCATCGACTCATACGAGTCATTTGATTCAAAATTGACTCTTAGACAACGTTGATATGTTTTGGTCCAAGGAATTCTGGCCTCTCAACAGTCCAGATTTACATCTTTTGGACTACTATATATGAAGTAGTTGAAAGAGTCACAAACAAAGTCTTGATATCCCTACCCAACGTGACGTTAAAGACCGCTATTGAGGCAGCATTTGTTGGCATGGACTGCGCTACATTACAGCGTGCGTGCGAACGCTTCAGATCGAGATAGAAGTCATCATTCAAGCTTATGGGGGATATATTGAATAATTGAGCTCTATAGAGATCTTCCAAGTGCCATGTAAAAAGATTTTTGTAATATTTAATTTTTCATTAAAAAAATTTTGTTTAAAGAAATTGTTCGATTTATCCGGGTTTTGGTGACGCACCCTGTAATTTGTTAGCTTTGCATAATAGGAGAGACAGGGGTCAATAGGCTATGTAGAGGTAAGTAGATTAATCGAAGCTATGTTGCAAACAAATAGCGCGAGACTCGCGTAAACGTGACCAAGCACGCAGCAGCGACTGCCGCTCAATTTTCTGTGATATCGCGAAGCGGACGCATCTATCATAGAAGTTACGCTAATTTAAAAAAATCATACATGTAAGTAAATATTTTCATTCTTAAAGTTTTTACAATCATGTATAACTATCTGAGATATTTGATTTCCATTTATATAGTAAATGTAATTCTTAATAAAGTCTAAAAGAGTTTTTTGTTTATCTGTTTTTGTTATCGTACAGTTAATGTTTTAAAAAATGAACGGATGGGGCTAGTAGGCCTAACCAGAACACGAGGCTATATGACTAATTTAGTGACGATTCTAATAGTACCTACTCTCAAACTTCTTGGAATTAAATTCACTCTAAAAGAGTGAAAATACAATCAGTTTTAAAAAAGAGTGAAAATGTTTTCTTCTTGAAAAAGAATGGCAATATTTCATTGTTTTAAAGAGATGATTTACTTCAGTGGTAAACGTTATAAATTTAGTTCCTTCACGATAAGTCCAATCTCGATAAAACTAGTTTCATTCGACGTATTTTACACGAAACGAACGAATTTAGCAAAAAGAATCATTGTTCTGTCTTGAAATATTAATCATTAAAGTTTGTTAGGTTAGGAAAATGTCATTTGCTTCGTCCTGATAAAAACGTTGATAGAGAAATCCTATCGTTTTGAATATGAAATTTGGTTCGTAAATTCACTAATTTGAATCAGATCTTATAGAAATCTTGTACAAATCTTATAAAATCTGATAAAATACGATAGGATTTATAATCGATTAATCGTGCTCGCGAGGTCAATGAAAATGATATAAACTTATATATAAACGACACAAATTAATAGAAATCCATTTTCAATCGTTCTCTTTCAATTTTTTTTTACTAGGCGATCTCACTTTCTTCCATAAGTAGCTGTATTTTCATTTTCTTTGAAATTTCACTCAAAAGAATTTAGAGAGTATTCTTTTTTAAATGCACCTATAATGCAATAATTTTTTAATGAATTTTAATAATAAAAATATACAAAAATATTATAGTTAAATTACAAGAAATTTTTTATGCATGTATAAATATGTATAAACATACCTTATATAATAAATTGTATATGTTTATGAACATTTATACATAACATAAATATTCATAAATGTTCATAAACATGTATGTATAATTATATATGAAATATGTCCATATAATGTTCATACATTCTTTTTCTTTTGTAAAATTACTTTTAAGTGTAATAGAATACAATCATATATGTTTGTGTATATTTATACATAAGTATTTATGTATGAAAAATTTTTTGCCGGATAATATGAAATACTAAGATATTAATTTAATTACAGGAAATTATGAGGACGTACAAGCGAAAGATAGACAAAGGAAATATTCCGAAGAACATTATGGAATTTGCATGTAAAGAAGTAATTTTAGAAGGGAAAAGTGTTCGTTCTTCAGGATTGAAATATAATATCTCATATTATAAAATTTTGGATCGATATGTTACGAATTAAAAGCTGCAGAAGAAAATCAAGTATCGAGTTTTCAATTAACTCATATAGGTATTATATCAAAAAGTCGTCAAATTTTGAATGATATGAAAGAAATTGCTTTAATGGAATTAAAAAAGCAGCAGATATTTATTATGGTTTAACACCCAGAGAAATAAGAAAATTGGCTTATCAATTTGCAATAAAAAATTGAAATAAAGTGCCAGATTCTTGGAATGAAAAGAAAATGGCAGGTAAAGATTGATTCTCATCTTTTCTTAAACGCAATAATAGTTTATCAGATCACCACAAATCTTTCTAGAACGACATCATTTAACAAACATAATATTAATTTGTTCTTCACAAATTTGAAAACAATCTACAGTCGTTTAAGAATGGAGCCATCTGACATCTGGAATGGAGGAGACAGGGATTACTATTATTCACACTCCTAATCGTGTAGTTGCACGTCGTGGGATGAAGCAATTAGGAAAGATAACTTCAGCTAAAAGAAGAACTCTCGTTACCATTGCAGTTTCAGTTATAGGAAATATAGTCCCATCATTTTTTATATTTCCAAGAGTCAAAGATCATTTTGTACAAAGAGGCCTTCTTGGATTTGAAGATGATGTCAATTCATCAAGTTGGATGAAAGAAGAACATTTTCTAAAATATTGTAAACATTTTGTTCGTAATATTAGACCATCTAAAGATGTTAGATCTAAAGAAAAACCTTTTTCTTTTATTTGACAATTAACCATGAATCTCACCTTTCTGATTAAGGCACTTGATTATTAGAAACAGAATGGAGTCACAGTTTTATCATTTCTTCCCTATTGCGATTCATAAGTTGCAATAGATAGATTTGTATATGGCCTTTAAAAAAATATGTCAACACAGCATGTGACAACTGGCTAACTAGTAATCTAGGAAAAACTTTATCTATTTATCATTCTAGAAATAGTAAAAATTGTATTATCTCTGACGACAACTTCAACAAATATTCAGGCTGATTTCCACGTTTCAAGAATATCTCCTCTAAATGAAAATATATTTCCTGAAAATGAATTCTTAGGATCTTATGTGACCGATAGTGAAGATATTTCTACTTATCAACGCTGAGAACAATGAACTTTCTGTCCAGGAAAATATCGATCTTTTAGCTAACGAGGAATATGAATCTTTCAATTACCGAGAAAAATATTAATTTTTTAGCTATCAAGGAAAATATCGATCTTTCATCTGTCAAGAAAAATGTCGATCTTTCATCTGTCAAGGAAAATGTCAACCTATCTTCGATGTCTAGCTTAATAATTACACTTCAAGATATAAGACCTCTGCCAAAAGCGGAATCGCTTCAAGAAAAAAGAAGAAATACTCGTAAACGTTCTAGTGCAATACATATAGACTCGCCAGAAAAAGATGAACTCATGAAACACAAGCTGAATAAACCAAGAAAAAAAAGTAGAATGAACAAGAAAGGAAAGGAAATGGAACAAAAAAGCAAGACAATAAGAAAAGGAAAAAGTAAGAAAAATTCAAATAAAGGAAAACATCCTTTGATTGAAAAAGTTATAAGGAAGATTCTGAATAAACTAAATTCTTCATCCTCGAATGACACAGATGCAATGTGTCTCGTTTGTAGAAAGTTAATAAAAAATATTCCAGGAGAAGAGTGGATACAATGTATGAAATGTAGCATGTGGGCACATTCTAAATGCATAAAGGGTAACACATTGTATTGTATTTGCTATAACAGATTAGATAAATGCAATTCAGATTAGATAAATTACATATCTAATAACAAAGGTATAAAGTTATATATATTTTTTATTTTATAAATATGTTTGTACATATGTTTTATTTTATGAATATGTTAAAATACATTTATAAACGTTTCGTTAATATGTAGTTCAGATGTACCTTAAAATATACTATAAATATATATTAAGCTTCATTTTAATCAAATTACCCCATTAGTCATCTTACCTCAGTCCTGGGGCTAGTTGAACCAGATGGAATTCATTACAAAAATGTATTTTTTTTTCATATTATCAGTTTAATTATCAGTTTACATTTATTATTAAAATATTATTAGATAGCCAAATGTATGTAGTAACTAGTGTAGAATTCATTTTTTTCGATAAGTCTCTTAATTTCATCTGTAAAAATTCGAAACTGAAAAATGAGTCTATTAGTTCCGGTTTCCCTTACGAGCGAATACGAGTTGATGGTGTTATAATGATGATCTGATTCTAGAATACATTGCTTTGAGATTAATGACGTAAACGTCCAGAAATTTGCGATAACTACACAGTTGTCATATAAATCTATTTAATCTTTTTTCAAGTTAATTCCCCTTCCCCTGGATTTTATGGGTTTAGAGCTTTAGATTTGAGAATTTATTTATTATAATTTCAGCACTTTAAAATACGTAAGAAAAACTTGTATAATATTTTCGATGTTGCATTAAAGAAAGGTCCTGGGCTAAATAGTGTAATTTTAGTAAGAGGTTTGACAATTTGTTGAGGTTGGAAAAAATGATCTGTCTTGTGCAATTCTGAAGTTACATTCGGTTTCATAGTCTCAAAATACATAGGGATACATGGGTTTAATCTCTCGGACATAATATTTCTTATTTTGTGCGCGCGCGCGCAAAAGTGTGTGTGTGTATGTGTGTGTGTGTGTGTGTGTGTGTGTGTGTATGTGTGGGATTGTATAGTCCATCTCAATCATTCTTACAAACGCAGTAAAAAAAGCATTAATTTCTGCCGCAGTACCATTCATTGGTTATTGTGTAATAATCTTAATTTTTATTGAATGATTTTATCAATTTGATTATTTGTATCTTACAATTATTATTAAAATTATATTTCATTGACACTATATTTATTAAACTTATTAATTAAACAGAATATTATTTATTATTATGTTATATTTAATTTATAAAATTCTAGTCAAATTCTAATAAATTACAATAAGGAATACATCTTTTTTTTAACCTTACAGGTTGTACAAGAGTATGAAAGAGCTGTCATATTTCGATTAGGACGTCTTCTATCAGGCGGTGCTAAAGGTCCCGGTAAGAGATTAACGCTATTACATTAATCTATTTGTTTCAGAAAATATGTAATCTGTTTAATTATGTAAATAGGTAAGCTATGAAAATTTTAAGCCATTATGTGTTAGTGCGTATATACACACATATATATATATACATATATATATATATATATATATACGATGTGTATGTGTGTGAAGGGAGAGGGAAATGCGTCACAGATATTTCGGGTTCGAGGGGCAAGAGAGAGAGAGAGAGAGAGAGAGCAAGTGCATCGTTTGGCGAAGGGTCTGCGGGAAAGGAAGTTTGTTTTTTCACTTTCTCACATATTACCTTCTGTTCTCACCCGTTATCTTGCCACTCATTGAAAGTGCAGTTCTCTCTCCCACTCTTTACGGTTCTCTATACTTATCTTATTCATGCTCTCTTTTTTTTTCGCTGTGGTCATATTTACTATACAGGAGAGAGAATTCAGATATGGATTGCACAGTGTGATTATATGTGCCAAAAGAAGCAACTTTTTCTTCTGGCAAAATTACAATTCAAACAGTACTTTTTAAATGAGAGCAATTTTAAGTTAAGTACGCAAATAAGCGTTCCATAGATGTTACGCATAGATCAGGGAGCGACGCACACACATAACGCGGCTCGGCGTATAAATATGTATTATTATTTTACTATTTTGCTAAAAATTTTATAAAAACTATGTATGATATCTGAATATCATAATTATTCATGAGTTGTCTAATATCTATTTATTTTAATTTCAGTCATTTCTTCAGCGATATTAATTAGGAAACCTTCTCTTTTTAAATAATTTATATTCAAAATAGTGATATTTAAATATCATGCATAATTTTTATAAAAAAATCTTTAGCAAATTAAGATAATAATACGTACATCCTTATACGTCAGGCTGTGTGTATGCGCCGCCTCTAATTCACGCGTAACATGGATCTCCTGCTACAAATTCTTACAAGAAAAATTCTTATGATCTTATGATTAAGATCTTCCAAGAAAATTTTCATACGAATTTCCGACAGGAGCATACGAATATAAGAATATATATATATATGATATATATGATGATGTAGGTAAATCAAGAATTTTATATGAATCTTACGCCCATGTTATATATAAATTTTATAAGTATATTACATGACTCTTACACGCATGTTACATGAATCTTGCATCGCGCAGGTTACATGAATTTCGCGCAGATTACATGTTATATGCATTTTGCGCGTATGTAACGTGAATCTTGCAAGAATATAACTGGAGTGTCATTATGAAAATATTACAAGAATACTATTAGAATTTTGTGTCATTTATTGTTCGTATCACAGTAAATAAAATAGAATGGGACAAAGAGTTGAACGGGATTTAAAAGAATTTATTTTGGTTAAAAATTAAATCTTTTTACACAAATTGAATAACAGTTTTTCAATTAAATCAAACTTAATTTGGAAAAAGAGCATAAAAAGCCTACGCCAATTAGCGAAATAATTTAATAGTTATTAGTGATATAATTTATCAATTCATAGACAATGATAATATATTAAGACAATGATAATATATGTTCCGATCTTCTATTCAGTTATCTTCAGTATTTTAATAAATTTTTAAATTTTTTTAAATTTTATTTTTATTTCATATATTCAATCCAGTTTCATTCATCATTAATTCCATTTTATTTATTGAGATCGGTACCTTTATTACTTTGGAGCGATCATGTAAAAAAATTATTTCTTAAGAATATTTTATTAGATTAAATTAATAATTAAAATCTTTTTATTGCGATATAAATCGTCGTGTACGATTCATGCACCAACTTGGAAGATAAGTTATTTCGTTGTTTTTTTAAAACTAATACATGATCTTTCATGTAATATTTAGGAATCATACATAATTAATACCATATTCTTCTTCCTATACAAAAATTGTTTTTTAAGAGTTTCTTATAAGTTAACCCATTAAGGTCCACGCCTAATACAGCTGTGATAACATCAAACTGAATGTGATTATAGCATAAGCAAAAAAAATTACTCATGTTTTTTCGCTTTGCAAAATTGATTGTTTAAACGATAATTGTTTAAACAAATTGTTTAAAAAATGCCCATTCTTAAAAAATTAAAAATACCATTCTATTTTCTATTCGAAAATAAAAAATTTTTTTTTGCTATTTTTTCGATTCGATGCTTTGTTTATGCAAAAAATTATTATAAACGATTTGCATACACAAAGTGTAGTGGACTTCCGCCCATGCTTTGGGTATTATCTATGAAAATTAACCAGGATTCATAACATAAGCGAAAAAAAATTACCCGTGTTTTTTCTTTTTGCAAAATTGATTGTTTGAACGATAATTATTTGAACAAATTGTTTAAAAATATCCATTTTTAAATATCTATTTTAAAAAATACTCATTTTTTTTAAATACTAAGAAAAAACAGGGATAATTTTTTTTTCGCTTTCGCTATAAATCATGTGGTTAGTTTTTATTTATATAATACCCAGAGCATGGCGGCAGCCAATTTTATGCATGCAAACCATTTATTTTTTGCATAAACAAAGCACCGAATAAAAAAAATATTAACAATAAAAATTTCTTGTTTTTGAACGTAGAATCGAATAGCATTTTTAGTTTAAAAAAAATGAGCATTTTTAAACAATTTGTTTAAACAATTATCATTTAAACAATCAATTTTGCAAAACGAAAAACACAGGTAATTTTTTTCGCTTATGTTATGAATCGTGTATTCAGTTTGGCGCTATCATGGTTGTAACATGTTAGGCATAGATCTTAATGGGAGGTAAGATCTTTTCATCGCTATATAAATCATCGTATACGAATCATGCTAGATTCTTGTATCAACTTGGAAAATAAATTATTCCGAAACTATGTCTCGTAAGACTGATAAATGACCTTTTATGAAACACTTCAGAATCATATATAATTAATACCATATTCTTAGATGATCTTGTAAAGAAACTATTTTTTAAAAGTTTCTTATAAGGCTAAAGCAAGATCTCTTCTTTGCGATATAAATCGTCGTGTATGATTCATTCCAGATTCCTAAAATCATTAAAGATTACTGATGAGATTCATGAATAAATTATATAAGATTCTTATATGATTATGTACATTCATTTCAGTAATCTTGATTGATCACATACAACTCTTTTAAGATCTGGTATAAAAAAACTTATAAGAATTTTCAATAGAATTTTCATTTGTTAATTTAAAATTGCTTTCATTTAAAAAGTACTTGAATGTCAGAGGAAAAGGTTGCTTCTTTTGACACATACAATCATGTTGCGCAACCCGTGTCCGCGAATTCTGAAACATTTTATATATTCGCGCGATTCCCAAATTTTCTTCTCGTATATGTTCTCTCTTATACAATTATTATCTATGTATAAAATATATATACTATACATATATATTAATGGAAATAATATTAATAGAATATTTAACAAAGAAAACATTTCTTGTTTACGTAACAAAATTATTATTATTTGATATTAAATATCTGTTTATTAAGTTATTTAAATACATTCCTGCTGGAAAAATTTCACTGAAATTGTTTAACGTTTTGGAACACTTAATTTTCAGCAAAATTTCAGCTTAATTTTTAGAAAAATAGCTAATTTTTAGAAAAATTTTTAATTTCAGCGATTTTTAGTTGAAAAATTCTTTTTCAACAAAATTTCAGCAGAATTTCAGAGAAATTTTAACAAAAATTTTAAAGAAATTTCAACAAAATTTTTTTTCAGAGAAATTTCAGTAAAATTTTTTTCAGAGAAATTTTAGTTCAATTTCAGCGATTTTTCAATATGTGAACTGAAAAATTCACTTTTAGAGAAATTTTAACAAATTTTTGCAGCAATTTTTCTTAAATGTTCCAAAACGTAGAATAATTTCAGTGAAATTTTTTCACTTTTCAAATGTTATTTAAATATATATTTAATTTACTTATTTTCCTTATTAGTTATATTTTCTTCTTTAAAAATAATTTTTTTATATGATGTTATGTATGTTGTAAATAAAAGTTAGTAGAAGTTTAGTCTTTAAGAGCTCTTTAAGATCCCCAACACAAGTTGTATACAGGATGTCTGGAAATAATCGCCAAATATTTCATGGGCAGGTAGAGCAGAATGAGTCGAAAAGTCCTCTATCATTTTGTAAGTTTCCTCAATAGTTAACGAGATATTAATCTTTAAAGATAACCGAATCTCCAACTCCCACGATCTGCGTGTCAAGCGATTGGTAGGTATATACACTTCGCAGTAGTAAGCCGGGCAGGCGTATTCGGCTATCTTTAAGGATTAATATCTCGTTAACTATTGGGGAAACCTACAAAGTAATAAAGGACTTTTTGACTCAGTTTAGTCCGCTCTACCTGCCCATGAAATATTTGGTGATTATTTCCAGACATACTATATGTGTATATAAATATTCTTTATTATATTAAATCAACGCAAACATATACGTTTTGATTCTGTTTTGGATCCTCTTCAGTACAATAACAATATTAAATCTTAAACTTAAGATTTCTCAATATATATATA